TGAAGTTGAAGACTGAGAAGTTGGGAACAGGTTATGTCCTAGTTTCCTTTTTTTTTTTTTGGTACTGGGGATTGAACTCGGGACTTTGTGCTTACAAGGCAGGTGGTGGCACCACTGAGCTAAATCCCTGGCCCTAGTTTACCCATTCTAAGAGGCTCTTATTTTGGAGAAAAGTATTGTTAGTAAGTAAATAAGAAAATAGAAAATTTTTTTCATTTATATGTGACATCCCTTATTATTCTAATGTTACTTTCTATATTCATGCTGTATTCACTAAGGGAAAATAAAATTAACTAAAAATTGGGGAGCATAAATAGAGCATATCTAACTGATCATAACCAACACAACAATCTCTTTTTCCCTCTATACCATTCTTAACATACTGGCACACAGAGATGCCACACATGTACACAAATATGCACGTACACACAGAAGACAATGATAGCATGTTATTAATTTTCATTTATAGTTATGATGCGCAGAATACCATTCCCTATGGTGAAGCATTTTAAAAAGTGTATGTGTGTGTTTAATTTCAGTAGGCTTAAATGAAAAATTATAGCTATCTAAGGGATGAGATAATATATTTATAAAACAGTACAGACATCAATATACCTAGAGTTATACATGGATATACCTAGAATTATAAAAGATTATCTTTCTAGACCCTTCATTTTAGATGATTTACTACCTGAACCAAACTCAAATTTTGTAACTTTGAAGCAGTTCTTTTTTTAAAAAAAATAGATCACATCCTTTGAGAAAAGGTCAATATTACAATGGTATGTTGCTGGTCCTCAAATATTGGTAGGCATTTTACATTCTAAACCAATTAACTTCTTTCCTAATTTATACATAAAAGAATGCACTTAAAACAATAAGAATTAATAAAACAACATGAATTTTTCAGGAAATGGTAAAATACTGATCATTTATAGTTCAATTTTAGGTATCAATATAGAGTAACTTTGGTTAAAGCAAATGCAAAGTATAATAAATGCCATGGCACCAAGATGGAAGACAAAATATACGAAAATTATCACAAGCCAAGGATTAATTTTCCAATAGTTCTCTGTGCAGTGAGCTTCCTTAGATTATAATTGGTATTCCAGCAGATCATCAGGGATCATTTACGTCTTTCCTGTTCTCATCCTCCAGCTTCTTTGTTTTAATTTTAAATGCTTGCATCTAGAATGCTCTTCATAGACCCAGATTTGGGCTACTGGAGCCACTACAGAGAACTAGTAGCACCTATGATTTTTTTCTGCACACCATCTATGAACTTCCAATAAGTTCCATACATAGTGACTGAGTTGAACCAAAAAAAAGAAACCCATGTTCCGTGTCTCCACAGGATAATGTCTGAGAAGTAATTTAGACTCCAGATTTTCCCATTAGTCACAATGAGTTTCACTGCATCTTCCTTTACAGTCCTTCTGCTCCCATTCTCTTACCAGTTCTTCTGTTAATTTTCTTAATTAATCACTTACAAATAAAACCCTGTCTCAGGGTCAACTTTTGGGTAGATAATTACTAAAGGCAAATATTAAAGCTACTTAGGATCCATCCATCCATCCATCAATGTACTCATTCATTCAGATTTGCTACTTCCTTCTGTCTCCTGTCTCTGTCTCAATGCCTCTACCACCACTTGCCCCAGATAAGCAATGCTTGAAACACATTGGTGTGCATTCTATTACACTTTATATGCCTCTATTACTTATATAATTATACATGAATACACATTGATGAGGGGATATTTGCATTTTAAAAATGCTATCGTATGTCTATATGTATACATATATATTAACATTACATACTGTTTTTCTTTCTGTACAATATTTAGATTCCTAATAATGAAAAATTTAGACTTTTAACTGAGTTCTACTGTAAGCTGCCTTATTTGCTCAGAAGAAATCATATTATGGATAGAGATACATAAAATATATACTGAGAATCTGAAGTCATAGTAAGGAAGACTTTTTTTTTTTTTTTTTTTTTTTTTTTTTTTAAAAAAAAAATCTGAAGGAAATGTTTTTTTTTTTTTTTTTTTTTTTTTTTTGGTACCCTGGATTGAACTCGGGTCCTTGCTCTTGCAAGGCAGGCTACCGAACAGCTGAGCTAAATCCCCAGCAGTAAGGAAGACTTTAAATGTTCCTGATTGTTTTATTCTCTCTCTGAAAAGTTTTGATACCTCAATATCTTTGATAGTCTATACATTGTATATTTATATCTGAAAAGAAAATTATTTTGTATTTAGTTGTGCACAATTCCCATATTACAGTATTCTGATTCTATATTATATGGTAAGTATTTTCCTAATGTTTAAGTGCTTTTTTAAAATACTGATTTAGTATTTTGCATTTTGGGGTCTGCTTATAATTAATCTTTACAACCCAACAAAAAAGTTGATAACTTTATTTCTATTTTGCAGATATGATGTCTGAGACAAGGAGATTTATTGACTTTTTCCTTGTCAAGAACATGAGTCAGAGTCAGATTCAGAGTCAGAACATGAATTAGGAATCTTTGGCTTAAAACTAGATGTTTAATTTGTTATCACTGCACCATTGCCATTTTCTTATAAAATAAATGCCTTCGCAATACTATTTTATCACTAAAATACAACTTACATAACAAATCCAAATGCTACATATTGATGAGTGAAGATGGATATGATGTTAATTACTATACTGTAGAATTACATTGATTTTCTACATTTTAGTTAGATGGAGATTGCTGTCTTTTTATTGAATATCTATGGTCTGTCCTTACTGGGAATTATTGCAGGTTATTTTGATTCTCAAAAATATGAAGTGTTAAGTAACTATAAAATGAGTTGATGATTTTTCTATGCATGAGTTATAACACAATGTTTTTCTGAAACAGAAATAATTTCATTCAGAAAAATTATTAGTCTCTATGTAAGGCATTGGTTTTTAGGCAATCATACATTTTGAATACATGAAGATCAATTTAAGTTAGTGGACAGAAAATACATGTTGTCTTGTAGCTGCATGGTACATGCAAGCTGTAAAAATTGAAGGGTCAGCCCTACTAGACTTTGAGCCCATGCTGGCCTGGCTAATGTGCAAAATGTGTAATCTAATTTAAGCTCAGTAAGTTCTTCTTTTCTTAAATTGTGGATTTATCCACATTTTCTAATAATAATGTCAGCTTTTTTTGACTACGTGATGCTGAAATTACTTAAGTGTCAAAATGAATACATTCATGAAGATGAGTTTCCTCTCCCTTTATCCATCCTACATTTACTCAAGAAGCAGTACAACAAAGGTTAGGTTCCATTTATCCTCTTTTCCCTTTAGAGAAATTTTAAATTTATTTATGATGTTCTTGTTAAGGGCTTAGAAAATAATATCCAAAATATTCTTCTTTTGACTTCAAAATGAGGGCACCAAAAGAGCAGCAATGCAGGAAGTACTTTTCCTGAAAATCTCCAATCTACCTAAAAACCAGATCTTCCAAAAGAAACATAATTGCCATCCATCTTTTAACTGCAATTTCATAAATTAAGAAAGATTAAATTCATATCACAGTGCAAGAGACTGAAAGTCAAATAGCACATGTAGAATTCAGAAACACTTTGTCTCAGGCCATTGTCTGGTCTTCTAATCTCATGTCCTCTAAAAATCATTTACTAAGTCTCTGAAATTTCTACATGTCCCACTTCTCTGTCGCCTAGGAAGAGAGCATTTACATCTCAACCATCTGGCCTTCCCTTGAGTTTCATACCTTAGCGGCTCCTGTGCATACATACATGTTAATAACTGAGCAAACCTTTTCTCCTGCTAAAGTGTCTTTTGTTAATTTATATCAGCAGACTCAAATTTCAAAACATCAGAAGGAAAATTTGAACTTCCTTATTTCCTTGGATTCAAGTAACTTACAGAAATGTCATTCTTTCTTATTGCAATAAACTGCAGAAAAACAGAGTCTGCCAAAAATATACATGCATTAGGAAAAGAAAAGTTTGTATAATACTAAATTTTTGAGACATTGTGAGATTAATACAATTTAACTTTGGCCTCTACGATTAAAAGAGGAGCTCAAGGTGGTGGCCATTGGCTTCTAGATATTTATTAGTATGGCAAACTGCTGAAGTATATATACATATTTTTGGTAGACTGTATAAGTAATCTGTACATTAATTTTTTTAAATGTTCGCTTTGTCAGTAGTCTAGTAGCAGTACTGGTGCAATATCACATGGGTCTGTTAGGCAATACCAGACATACCATAATTGACTGTATGGCTTGCTGTAACATTCATATGAAGAAAGTTACAACTGTGAAGGGTATGGAAGGAAAATTATAAAGAAAGAAGATGAATACATTAAAATTAAGGAAGTACATAATTTGGGAAAATATAATAGTTGAGAACAACTTTAAATGACAAAATGGAAAATAAAAATTTTAATTGATTTATCATGTAAACTTGTCTTGCCAGCTTCTTATAAGATAAAATGAATAAATGGAATGTAAAGAAAATTCTGACTTCATTAGTTATTTTCTGTTATTTCTTAATACATTCTTTCTAATCTATTGGAATATAATTTTAAATTCATTGGCAAAGGATATGTGTTATACATTTGCTTTTAGGTTGTGGTAATCCAAGTTGACAATTTCTTGTCAACTGAATCCTAGAAACAGTGCTAGAGCAACTAAACTATAAGGTGAAGGAGTTTCTCTTTCTTATATTACTGTTTTATAAAGCTCCGTAGAGTAAAATATGATAGAGAAGAACATCTGGCATTTTCCATTTTAATACAAATAAAATAAAAGACACAAGAGCAAGTATTAAGATAAGTCAAATAAAAGTGGATTTTATGGTAAAATAAAATAGTATAAAAACATGCTTAGTATATATGTATATATATATGTATGTATATAATTTTTTATCTATATATGTATATATAATATAATATGTATCATATATATATATATGTATATAATTTTTTTAGGAAGTTCTAAATAAGACCTACTTTCTCATAGTACTTGATCTCGTAGTCCAGAATTGCTCCATTGGAAAAAGCAGGTGCTTGCCATGATAGGGCAATGCTATTTTGGGATGCCCAGTCCTTCCTTACCATACCTATCAGAGATGGTGCTGAAAGGAAAGAAAATAAGAATTAATTGTCATAAATCATTTTCCATAATCCTTTCTTCAAATTTTTATTTCAAAACAAAAACAAAAACAATTCTTTCTGAAAAGGACAATTGTTGCCATATTAATGAAATAGCTTTGAGACCTACTCTATTCAATCACAACAAGGCTTTAAAATACACTGTTAAAAAAACATAGGAAAAGCTCAAATATTCCAAGAATACAAGCCAGAACTCACCATCTTTGGTTTTATTAGAGGAAGGTATTTTTCTTTAAAATGGTTTTGATCTTTATGATATGAAGTTCAACATGCTAGATTCCTATATTTTGGTAAATCTACATCTACCATGGGGGGAACATATAACATTACAAATATATAATAGGATACATATATATTGTAATTATAAGATAATATATAAGCTTTTCTTTCTTTTAAACATATCCTAGTGATCTACAAAATTGTACAGTATGTAAATTATTTACTGTGAATTATTATTTATAATTACTAAGATTATTTCTTTTATATCATATGATGATATTTAACTTAAATAGTTTATTTTCAGAATTGTATCCATATTATTTTCTTTTTATTCTCATTGAGTTTATTGGTACATTATAGGTATACAGTACGATTACATTCATCATTGGGATCCTGTACCTTTACATGACAGGTCTTGGTTCTAATTTTTCCCTTTTTCCTTGCCCTCCCTTCACCCCCTCCTCCTCCCTTCCCTATTTACAAATACTTTATTTCCATTTTTTCATTTTCTCATTTTTTTCTTTTCCCTTATTATCTTTCCCCTACCCTTCCCATTTGCCCTACACCTTTCATCCTTTTCTTCCTATTTCACATTGGATCTATTTCATTAGGATCTTATGTACTATTATAGTTTTTCACACCAGAGAAACTATTCAGTATTTACACGTGGGACTTATTTATTTCACTTAGGAGTATATCCTCAATATGTATCCATTTTCCTAAGAATGACTCAAATTTCTCATTCTTTGTGGCTGAGTAGTATTCCCTTTTATAGAAAAACCACATCTTCTTTATCCAGTCTCCAGCTAATGTGCAAATGGGCTGTTTCCTAGTTTTAGACATTGCAAACTGTGCCGCTGTAAACATGGGTGTGCATATATCCCTGTGATATGATTCTTTTAATTCTTTTATAAAGATACCCAGCAGAGGGATGGCTGGGTCAAATGGAATCTCTAGTCCAAGCTCTTTGAGGTATCTCCATATTGATTTCTATAGTGGTTGCATCAGTCTGCATTCCCACCAACAATGGAGAAGGGTTCCTTTCTCCCCACAACCCCACCAACATTTGTTATTTTTTGATTTCTTGATAGCAGGCATTCTTTGTGGGGTGAGGTGGAATCTCAGTGTTGTTTTCATCTGCTTCTCTGGAATGATCAGTGATGTGGAACACTTTTTCATATATTTACTTGATGCTTTGACTTCTTTGAAAAATGTCTGTTCTTTCAGATGCCCATTTTTTAATCAGGTCTTTATATTTGGGAGGTCTGATTTTTTGAGCTCTTTATATATTCTAGATAATAGTCCTTTGTCTGAGAAGCAGCTGGTAAAAATTTTATCCCACATTGTAGGTTGTCTTTTAGTTCTGTTGATGGTTTCTTTTGCAGTGCTGAAGCTTTTAAATGAGATGAGATCCCAGTTGTTAATTCTTTCTGCTAGTTCCCATGCTACTGGAGATTTGTTCATAAAGTCTTTTCCTATGCCAATGTTTTCAAGAGTTCTGCCTAACTTATCTTCCAGCAAATTTAATGACTCTTTTTTTTTGCAATTTTAGTGATCTTTAATCCACTTGGACTTTAGTTTAGTGCGTGGTGAAAGATAGGGTCCAGTTTTAATCTGTGGCAGGTTGAAATCTGGTTTTTCTAACACCATTTATTAAAGAGGATATCTTGCCTCCAGTGAGGATGGTTGGCTCTTTTGTCATAGATGAGGAAGCTGAATACATCTGGAGTTGTTTTTGTATCTTCTAATCTTTTCTACTGATCCTCAGGTCTTTTTCTTTGCCAGGATCATGCTGTTTTTATCAGAGTGGCTTTGTAGTATAGTTTCAAATTGGGAATTGTTATAATCCCTGACATGTCTCTGTTGCCTAGGATGGCTTTTGCTACTCTAGGTCTCTTCTGTTTCCAAATGAATTTTTGGATTATTTTTTCAGTTCTGTGAAATATAAATTATTACTTATCATTACTAAGATTATTTCTTTTATATCATATTTATGATATTTAATTTAAATAGTTTACTTTCAGAATCCTGTCCATATTTCTTCATTTTATTAAATTTTTTAGGAAATCCAAACCAAGCTTAAAATAACCTTGTGCTAACATTCCAATGTTTAATTTTCTTTGTACCTTTCACAAAATACTTATCATTTTATGGATGCATCTCAAATCTATAATGTTAAATGAAACACAAAGAAGCTTAAGTGTTCTTTTTAAATACTACTATTTGATATAGAAATTAAAATTCATACATTATACAAGAAATATAAATTAAGTTATATCATTAAGAAAAAATTCCAAAATTTTAATAACACCCCATTGGTTAGTGTTTGGGAGAAAGCACTTGAATGAAGTGGTACAAAGTTATGGAAGTAAACTTTTTTTTTTCTTTTTTTTTTGGTACTGGGGATTGAACTCAGGTCCGTGCACTTGCAAGGTAGGCCACCGAACCGCTGAGCTAAATCCCCAGCCCTATAAGTAAACTTAACAATTTAACAAAAGTTATGTATTCATTTATTCTCTGGCTTTTTAAACTCTAAGAGATTTACTACACAAACTGGCATATTTACAGAACTACTCTTTGAGACATTTCTCTGAATATTGGAATAATCTAAATGTCTGTCCATTAATAAGGGCAGGATAAATAAAATGCTACATTCAATGTGGGTATTATGAAATTGTGAAAAGGAATTATGTTTAACTATAAATACTACAATGGAGATATTTCACAATATGTTTTTAAGTGAAAAAAGTAAGGAGAAGAAATGTATGAAAAATAAAGCAAGAACAAATTTGAGAATAAAAAGTACTGATTGTAATTGACATCCTTGATGAGAGAATCAATAGGATGAACACAATATGCTTAGAAAATGGACATTTAAGTACATCACACACTTCAGATTAGCTTTGGAATCTTGTATGTAAATTATTAGAAAATGACGTTAGCATTTAAAATAATTCTGTAAAATTTAAAAGAAATACAAAGAAACCTGTTTGAGTTAGAGACATAGCTTCAATAATAACTAATTATCTTGGCTTTAAAACACAGTAGTTTAACTTCCATCCTAATAGGAAATTTATATTAAAGATTAAAAAAGAAAAACCTATAAAAATTATTAAACTGTTTTAGTTATGATATTGTTGTAACAGTACTGATACTCTAAAGTTGTTATATTGGGGTATTAAATAAATAAATGTTAGTCTTATTAAGAAGTGGGCCTTTCCTCCCTGTGAAATAAGATGTCAGATCAACAACTGTAAAGAAAAATAATGAAAAATATATCATTCTGAATTCAATATATCTTCCTGATTCATCATCAGAAATGTATTAAATATACAATCATAGGTAAAAATAGTATTTTAAAAAATGACTCACTGTGATACTTTTTCTTTTTCCCTGCATTTCCTTTGTTCCTTCTTTTCTTTCCTTTCTTTTTCTTTCTTTTCTTCTTTCTTTCTTTCATTTCCTTTTTTTCTTCTCTTTCCCTCTCCCTCCTTCCCTCCTTCCTTCCTCCTTTCTTCTTTTATTCATTCATTCCTTCCTTTCATTCATTCACAGAACTGGAGACTGAATAAAGGGCCTTGTATTCTAACTCACATTTTTGCTCAAGCTGATTTGACCTTTCAGTCCTTTTGCCTCAGCCTCACAGGCCTGGGAGGATGGAAATTTAAATTTCTTAGAAAAAAATCAAAAATTAAAATAGTCCAGGAGCAATCATATACACCTGTCATCCCAGCACTCTGGGAAGTTAAAGCAGAAAGACTGCAAGTTTGAACCCAGCCTAGGTAATTTGGTGGCTTAGCCAGGCACTGTCTCCATACAAAATAATGTTAAAAAGATTTGGGGATAGAGCTTAGTGTGATGGCCCTGAGTCCAATCCTTAGTAAAATAAAGTTTTTTTTTGTTTGTTTCTAAATATTGCCTTAAAGTATTTTTAAAAATTCATCAGATTGATGAGTTTGGTTCTTCTAAGGAAATAAGGACTTGATAAACTATATTTAAATTCCTCATTATTTAGTGAAAATTTCTAGTTGGACTAAATTATACTTTTAAAGTGACAGATACATATAGATATAACTAAGAAATATAAGTTTATTTTATGAGCTCAAACAGTAATTGATGACATGGTAAATAATTCAGTATTTAAACTGAGACACAGTCACTATTAATAAACTCCAACAAATAAATGTATCTCTGTTGGGAACATCATTAATATTCTTACATTATAATATAATAATGTATTAAATGGTGTTTTATGGATAAATTATAACAAAGAAAACCATACAAATTAGAAGTTGGTTTAAACATATTAATTCATTAGAGTTCTTGAACATCTTTTTCATATGTATAATCTTATTATAATCTTTCACATGTAATCACTTTAATGTGCAATACCATAAAGCAATTTATTTAGTATCAGTGTACTAAATTTGCTTTATAATTGTTTAACACTCAAGGCTAGTATTATAATCCTTTCAAAACTTATAAAATATGCAAATACAATTATGAAAAAATATGATTGAATGACTACTGAATAAAATATGGGCATTATTTTTATGTTTCTAATACTCCACTGAACAATTAATTGTACATCACCTATATTTTCTTTCCTCATTGAGTTTAGGTACACAGTACAGTTGCATTCATTACTGGGATCTTGTACCTTTACATGACAGGACTTGGTTCTCATTTTTCCCCTGTCCCTGCCCTCCCTTCACCCCCTCCTACCCTCCCCATTTACAAACAC